ATGTTCTGTGTACTGCTGGAGACCAGATAGGGAGAAATGCAGAGTCCTGGGTTTAGTAACACTTCAACTTCACCATTTTGTATTAGAAGTAAAACCAAACTGCCTCTCTGCTTTATAGTATCAAACTTGATGTGTACATTGATGTTGCAAGATGACTAGGCGAAAGCCTCCCAAACAAATGTGTTTTGATCAAGACGTGCATTAAGGCTGAGTTTTCAAAAGATGATGTATTTATGTTATAAGATTCATCTTTTGTTACAGTTTTGCTTTTGTTAACAAGCTTATTGTTGGTTTACTTTGAAAAGGAATGATGAGCATTGCAAAAGCATCTGAAATGTGCTTCATGTACTTCACGTGCTTTCTGTTTCACAGCAAATTGAATTAAAACCAGGTGTACAGTGTGCCTGAATAGGACAAGCTGCACTCAATAAAACCAACAAAACTCTGAAAACAAAAATATTATTGCTCTGCAATGTCTGAATCTGTGGATATTATTATTATTCTGTATTTATATAGCGCCAAAGGGTTTGCTCAGCGCTGTACATAGCGAGGGGGACAGAACATGAGACAATACAGTAACAATACAATACACGAGGGGTTCGAGGGCCCTGCTCTTTCGAGCTTACAATCTAGGAAGGAGGGGATAGTGGTACAGGAGGAAGTGGCTGTGGGGGATGGAGTGGTGGGAGGAGTGGAGGAGATCGGTTGTTAGGTGAGGGTGGGGTAGGCTTCTCTGAAGAGATGGGTTTTCAGGGTGCGCCTGAAAGTGAGGAGGGTAGGTGACAGTCTGATGGATTGGGGCAGGGAGTTCCAGAGGATGGGGGAAGTCCTGGAGAAGTCCTGGAGTCGGGCGAGGGAGGAGGAGACCAGGGAGCTAGAGAGTAGGATGTCCTGTGAGGAGCGAAGGGCACGGGTAGGGTGGTATTTGGGTATCAGGTCAGTTAGGTAGTTTGGGGCGACGTTGTGAATGGCTTTGTAGGTTAGATTTAGTAATTTTAATTTGATGTGCTGGGCAATTGGGAGCCAGTGAAGGGATTGGCAGAGGGGGGTGGCAGATGTGGAGCGGTTGGTGAGGTGGATGAGTCTAGCCGCTGAGTTCAGGATAGACTGGAGTGGGGATAGCGTTTGTTTGGGTAGGCCAGTGAGAAGGGAGTTGCAGTAGTCCAGACGTGAGATGATGAGGGAGGGAACGAGTTGTTTAGTGGTGTCTGGGGTGAGGAATGTACGTATCTTGGAGATGTTGCGGAGGTGGAGCCTGCATGATTTTGATAGTGATTGGACATGAGGTTGGAAGGAAAGGTTTGAGTCCAGGGTGACACCCAGGACTTTGGCGTGTGGGGTGGGATTGATGGTGGCGTTGCTAGTTGTGATGGAGAGGATGGGGGGGCACGGGCTGGGGGGAAAACCAGGAGCTCGGTTTTGGACAGGTTTAACTTGAGGAAATGGAGCGACATCCAGCCTGATATGTCGTTCAGGAGGTGCGCGATGCGGGCGGAGAGAGAGGGGGTGAGGTGAGGGGTGGAGAGGTAAATTTGTGTGTCCGTCGGCATAGAGGTGATAATTGAAGCCGTGGGAGTGTATCAGTTTGCCAAGTGAGGAGGTGTAGATGGAGAAGAGGAGGGGTCCGAGGACAGAGCCTTGGGGGACTCCAACAGAGAGGGGGAGGTGGCAGCATTATAGGTGACGCTGAAGGAGCGTTGGGATAGGTAGGAGGAGAACCAGGAGAGAGCAGAGTCCCTGATGCCAAAGGAGTGCAGTTTGGTAAGGAGGAGGGGGTGGTCGACTGTGTCGAAGGCCGCGGAGAGGTCAAGGAGCAGGAGGACTGAGTAGTGGCCATTAGCTTTGGTGGTTAGCAGGTCGTTAGTGATTTTTTGAGGAGGGCGGTTTCGGTGGAGTGTAGGGGACGGAAGCCAGACTGTAGTGGATCAAGGAGGTTGTTATCAGTGAGGTGGGTGCTTAGGCGATTGTAGGCTAAGCACTCCAGGAGCTTGGAAGTGAATGGTAGCAGAGAGATGGGTCTAAGGTTGTTTAGGTCAGTGGGGTCAAGGGAGGGTTTTTTGAGTATGGGGGTGATGTGTGCGTGCTTTAGGGGGGAAGGGAATGTGCCAGTAGAGAGGGAGAGATTGAAGATGTGGGTGAGAGAGCGAATGATGGAGGAGGGGGGTGACTGGAGGAGTTGTGAGGGGATAGGGTCCAGGGGGCAAGTGGTGAGGCGGGTTCAGTGAAGACCTTAGTGACCTCCTCAGTGGTAGCAGGGCTGAAGGAGCGGAGCGTTTTGGAGGTGATAGTGTGCGGGGCGTTAGGTATAAACAACTGTGCATCTGAGTGCTACAACATCCTAAACACAACAGTGATTTATAAACTCCCATCTACACAAGGCCCTAATCTGCACTAATAGAAAATAAAGTGGTTGCAGCTGCTGTCTTCCTTTTAAAAATACTAGTTGCCTGGCTGTCTCTGACTTCAACACTTTGAGAAGCTGACCCAAAAGTACCATGCATAACAAAGTTCAGAAAGTCACAATTTCCAATATATAGTTGTGCCAGGTCAGTGACTTTATACTCCGTCTACTGGATCAGCATGATAGCCAGTGAGCTAGTATTTTTACAAGTCAGTCATTGCAGTCTACATCAGCCTTTCCCAACCTTTTTAACATGGAGAAACCCTTGAAATAACATCATGGTCTCAGGGAACCCCTAATAAATACGGAATCCACAGGTCAGTATACATTCGTGTGATGGTCAGAGGAAAGAATGCGTGTTACATTTGAGGCCAGTAGAAATAATTCCCCTACAGATAGCTAATAAGATCATTAGTGTCAGTGGGAAATTATATGGGGGGCAGAAGCTTTGCATTGTTTAAGAAATCTCTAGCAACCTCTAGAGCAGTGGTTCTCAACCTGTGGGTTGCGACCCCTTTGGGGGTCGAACGACCCTTTCACAGGGGTCGCCTAAGACAATCTGGGAAAACACATATTTCCGATGTGTAAAGAGCAGCTACTGTGTAGAAAGCAGCTACTGTGTTGAAAGCAGCAGTATTGGAGGTAAAACGACACTTCATGAATATATAATTACTGGGTAAATAATTTTATGGTTGGGGGTCACCACAACATGAGGAACTGTATTAAAGGGTCACGGAATTAGGCAGGTTGAGAACCACTGCTCTAGAGGAACCCTAGCTGAGAAAGGCTGATCTGCATGCTTCCTCACTAGAAGTTTCCCTTAATAAAAATGTTACAATGCATCTAAAATAGAGAACGGATTGTTGCTTGAAAAACAAATGTGTTAAATGACCATCCTTCAAATTTAAGACTACTAATATTTGTCTCTGGCAGATGGTGAGAACTCTTTTCTTTGTCTTCAAGAGCCTCTGTGTGTGTCTAGTGCCTTGTCCCCTGCTCTGGTTTTATCCGCCATCCCTTGTGTCATTACTGAGTCGATTAGTGTGTTCTGTAGTGATGTAGTGGCCCATATATACAACCACAGTGCTCAGTGGAAGACACAGGCATCCGACACACCTGGAAGTGTCAGATGCTTATTAATCTGCTGGAGGCTGTAGTGCTTGAAGACAGCTACATTTGAGCTTGCGGTCCACCAGAAAAGTAATTATTAAAGTAGTAGTAAAGTCACTTTTTCATTTTTACATACAGGTAAGCTCACAATAAAGCTTACATGTAGGTAAAATTAATATTTTAGGAGATATTCTACAGAGCAGCAGCCAGTGCCATCACTGGCGCATGCGTTCTGAAGGAACAGGCATACCCGTGTCATTCCTTCAGAGCAATGTACCATGGCTGAGACTACTGCGCGCATGCATGAAAGCGACGTCATCAGCAGCTCGGCCATTCAAGCAGCCGTAGCCCGAGGACCTGGAAGGAAGCCTGGGTGAAGATGGAAGCCTCTGCTGCAGTGACAGCGCACCACTGGAGGGCTTCGTTTTAAGGGAAGTCTTTCATAATATGCTAATATGCATCATATTACTTTGTAGCAGGAAACCTTTTTTTGTGTGTTTTTTTTGAGTTTACTACCACTTTAAGAGTCTTCTCTGGCATGGAGTTTATTTAAAAATATTTTCAAGTAGCAATCACCTAAAAAAACAAACACAACTGTCACAAAACAAACATGGAGGCTGCCATCTTGCTTTCCTCCTTAAAATATCAGTTGCCGGTCATGCTGCTGCTTTGGCATTAATGCTCTTTTAGCGACTGACCTAGAAGAAGCACAGGGACGAGGAATTCTGATTTGTGTGTAAAGCATGTTGATTCAAGGTCTGTAGATCAAAAAGTACTGAAGCCATGCAAGTAGCAATTTTTAGAAAGTGACCATCAATGGCAGCCCCATGTAGTCCATGTGACAGGTGTCCTTGTGACAGTTGTAAGGCTGGCCATACACCATACAATTTTCTGTCCAATTTCTGCCTAATTTCCTTTAGATTTACCTTCAACTATGTAGCGCAAGGGCCTGCCTAATTGGATACAATTGAAAGTGTTGTTAGGTTTGACCTCATATTATATGGTTTTTGGTAAACCTAAACCAAAAAATCTCAGGAATATTGTATAGTGTATGGCCAGCCTTACACTAGGAGAGCACTGCAGTGGCTGATGTCAGGCAACAAAGAGGCCTCAAAGTCATGACTGACAAGTGAAGTGGTCTGCAAGAATTGGATGTATCATTGTTTATTCGCTTCTATATTCTCTTGGAACATGCACAACGTGATCATTGGTTGCAACTTGGCTGCAATGTTTAAGAAGGTTATCATTGCTATAAACCACACAGAATCCCCAATTTAACCTCTTGTGTGTTTCTACTTTGACTAGTGAAGAACCTTAACCTGATGCTTATGCAGATGAAGAGGGTGAGGCAATGAAAAGCATTAGTAGAACTTGCCAGTAATACACACTAATTACAGCCTGCAAAATAAAACTAGCTGAAACATGCAAATGAAACGGTAAGAATAATCAGTGTATAATTGCACATCCTAAAGTGTACCGAGCTACTAACCTGACAGAGTGATTCTGCTGTCTGACAAAAGGAAATCACTTGTTAATTATGCAGAAAATAATTTGCCATCTTTGCTGCCTAGTCATGTAGCATTAGATTACATGGAATTATTTGTAATTAATTTACTGTCTGCATAGTTCATGACATAACGGAAGCAAAATTTCAACACTCCAATACACCTCAAACAGTAAGTGACAAGTGACGGTACAAGCCATGAAGACAGGATAGTAACAGGAGACTGTTTGCAGCAAGTGTCTGAGCTTACTGTCCAGGAAAATCTTCTTACATTTGATAGGAGCTCTCCATGTAGCAGTATGTTATGGCAGCATTCTGCTCAATGGGGGGCACTTTTATCTTTGCACCTGACTTTTTGCCATTTGTGCATAATGGCATAGACTAGCAGTAGTGTTGGTGGTACTAGTAGAGACTCAATTTTCACAACTATCATCTGTCATTTGATTGAGGCTGGTTTTGAAGCAAGGTTGAGGTTAAAGGTTAGGTTTAGGGATTGGTTGTAGAATGAAAGTATTAAACTCAACATAATATAGAAAAAAAAAACTGCGACAAATAAGGTTTTTATGACAGAAGAGACCGTAATGGTCTCTTCCGTCAAAAATGCTGCCCTGTCTATCAGAGGTAATGTACACTGGGCCACACACGTGCAGCTCAGAGTTCATTTATGGCACTTGCTCTGTGCCATGATGAAGTGACTCCAGTGAGGGAGCGATGTCATTGCACCCCGGCCAGTCAAGTGGCCAAACAGAGCAAACCCAGAAGAAAGACTGGGAGAAGATGGCAGCACCCAAGCACTGACAGTGCAGTGCTGGAGGACAGGTCTGTCACAATGTGGTAGTATGTGGGGTACATCAGTACATTATGAAATAAACCTGCAGGGGCCCGTTTACTAAAAATGTTTTTGTAGAGTTTAATTCCGCTTTAAGGCTTAGGGGTTACACTGTGGTTTTAGAGTTTGGGTCTACAAAGACATATATCAAGAGAAATGTAGGGAATACAGTTGGTGACTACCCTCTGAAAATGCTAATTGCCTGGCTTTCTCTGGTGTTAAATTTTCTAAGTCGCTGACCTGGAACAAAGGTTGAGTAAGAACACTTGACCAGGGTACTTATTTCAGGTTAGTGCGACTCAGAATGCAACAAAGCCACTGGATGGCCATAGCAGCCAGACAACTAGTATTCTCAGAGGTGGTGTCCTATATATTTCTTTCAGTACAGTTTTCCCTTTACTGTAAACAACTTTTTTATCCTCCAGGAATTTTCAATATTTGTCAAAATGTCACAAGATATTAAAACGCAGAGAGGAAGACTCATTTTACATACTGTATATCAGGACATTAAGCCTATCCAAATATTTTTCAAAGAGAATTTACAGTGGGTTTTTTTTTTTATTTTAACAGAAAATTTAGAAATTGTGATAGAATTTTATTTAGATATGCATGTGAAAGATATATTGGCATGATATAAATCTACTTCACATAGACTGGTAATGTTTTGCTTTTTTTAGCTTCCTGCTTTGTGACTGCAGCATGACTGCTTGTGATTTATGCAGTAGGCATTACAGTATGTAGTAAAGCAAAGCCGAGTGGATAGCACTTGAAGTCCATGTACTTGACTGACTGTGTGCATCTGGAAAAATCTAGATCAAAAGATAAGAAGTCACCAGCACTCCATGCTGGACAGTATTGGTAACTTCTTATGTTATGATGCACCTAACCAGCCCGAGTGGCTCTGTGGCAACACACCCTACCTGAGCTCATTGTAGAAGAACCCAGATCAATGAAGCCTTCTGCACAATCAGGGATGCTTAGCTGAGATGTTCACCCTTTGTGTAATAGATTTTACCAGCTTGGTAAGTGCTACGTGTAGACATACATGTATGCCCACAGTGCTACAGTAGCAAGAAGGTTGACACAGCAAATAACAGCAGTCTACAGGGCCCCTGAGGATAAATGGACTGACCAATAAGTACAGTGGTCCTGCCAATATTGCACTTAAGGCTCAGTTCACACTAATATGACTTGCGACACACACAAGTCGAAACCCATTTCTTCAATGGCACCCATTCCAATCTATGCGACTAAAGCTGCAGTACCTTTAAAAAAGGTCCCTGCACTGCTTTGATTTTCTTGCAGCTTGAGTGGTATAGAGTGTAAAAGTCACATTAAAGTCTCGCTGGAAATCAAGCAACTTTGGAGAAGCGCTAGTGTGAACCAAGCCTAAAGAGGTATGGTCCTAACAGATTTTGTTTTTTTAAAATGATCCTTGAAATGACTATCTTTCTGTTGATGGAAGTAGTTGAGTCCTGGTAGTAAAGTGAAGATATGTAAATGTCAACACTCCTTTTTTTATTACTATACATTTGGTTGTCTAGGTTAATTGTTTTTCAGGATTTCTTACTACATAATACTGCAACATATTTTGTCCTCACAGTGCCAGCTTTCGCTGGGGGTAACAGTAGCTCAGCCAGGAATTGTCTAACAAGATCATTGACTATATTACCAGACATTAGATGTACAGCAATCAGTCTGATTGGCAGACCATCATATCATACATGTGTAAATGCAATGTTAAATTAGACGATGCTGAAATAAAGATATTCTAAAGTTCCATCCAGGTATATTTTCCATGCTCTGGGTAAACATTAGACTATATTTGCTTTATCTAGCTACTTTACTATTTTGGAGAGTGCTTTACAAAAATATGAGCACAACAATAATGATCAGATGGTCCCGGTACAAACAGCCAAAGTGACACAGTTAAGAATAGGAGTGTTGCAGCATGCAATGGACTGAAACACCAAACTGTAATGTTTGGTTACTTTTTAGGCATCACCAACAGGTATAAAGCTTATCTGTATTGCAGGACAGCACACATAGACACACATCACAGGGAAGTGAGGGCTTACCTATAGATTTCTGCCTTCTCATTGTGCCACGAGGTACACCCAGAAATGGGCCATGAGGGATTCCTGGAACAGTGGGCGGCATTACAGCGATACCCTGCCTATCATACATGGACTAAAACAGAATGAGATAAAACACAGCTAATGGAAGGCCTTTTCAATTACATGGCATTATCAAACAACTTTCACAGGATAACATACAATCTCTTTCATGTATTCTGTTTTTAATATTTAAACTCAATCTACAAGCAGAAAATGGTATACAAAGAAAACCAAACCAAGCCTAGGGAAGTCTTTCTAAAACAGCACCATCTTGACATTTACGCTATAAACCTAGAGTTGCATAGACACTTTTAAAACTTGCCGTTGTATGACTAAAATCTCATGCAATTGTTTTGTTTTGCTAGCATCAAGTTCATTCAGTCTGTAAAAGGGGAAGTCGGATCTATGGTTTCTATAGGTGCTTGATAGAGGAAAAAAAGAATAACTACAATAATCTTGTATCGCCAGTATGGGGATGGGACAGCATTTAGAAGAAGGCATAGGTAGTGCCTGTAAAGTTGAGTGTCTTGCTGGGGTGAAAAAAAAAGAGTAAAGGTTTGAGTTATATATTATTCCCAGAGAAACTGCCGTCTCAGGCTCTTTCCATAGCTGGCCCCATGACCAAAAGTTTAGGCATTAGGCTACATGATCCATGGTGGAGAGGAGCATCAGCCAATCTTAAAGCGGTAATAAACCCCAAATCAGAAATATAACATCATGAAGTAATCAAAATATAGTGCTTAAATCACTGGTAGCACTGTGAAAAACATATAATCAACGAAACAAAAAAAATACGTAAAAAAAAAAATATATGATAAAATCCACATGGTGCGGTAAGTGTTTACAAGTTCCTAACCCAGAAATCCATTCCGAAACTTGACCAACTGCCTTATTCCCCAACTTAGCACCCTGCGATTTTTGTCTGTTCCCACAATCAAAAAATGTCCTTAAAGGACACCAATTTGATGACATTCTGGACATCCAGCACGCCATGACAAACATACTGTGGAGCATTCCAGAAAAGGAATTCCAGGAATGTTTCTGGTATAGGCACAGCCATCTACAGAATTGCGTCACTTCACAAGGGGACTACTTTGAAGGTGACAACAGTTGCCAGTGAAGGGGTAAGCAAACATTGTTTTCCTTTTTTTTAACAGTTCACTCTGGGAATTAAATTGTCACACCTCGTACTATTTTACATACACATTTTCATTTTCCCATTTAAAGGATAAGTGCACTTTTGAAACCCATCAACTATCATATCTTAGAAAATTTCCAAAAAATAACTTCCATTATTTCTACTTCTTTTTGTGTTCTTTGAAGTCTGTTATTAAAGAGGCTTCCAAGAGTACCTGAGCCCTTGTGGTGTTACCTCAAATGTGACATATCAGCTTATGTTAAGGGCCCTTTCCTACTGAGGAGTTTTTTTAAGCACTTTTGTGTTTTAAAAAAAGAAAAGCTCATGAAAAATGCTTCCCTATGTGACTATGTATGTTTTCACACTGGGGCATTATGCTTTCGTTGCGGTGTAAAAATTCCTGCTCGCAGCATTTTTGGAGCATGTTTGTTCAGTTTAAAAAAAAAAACCCCCATTGAAATCAATGGAAAACACCTCAAAAATGAGTCGCATGTCCTTTAAAAAATGCACCGCAAGCATGGCAAAAGCACGGTAAAAACGCATATGTGTTTTTGCAGCAGCTCAATGTGAAAGTGCCCTAAAGCGGAACCTCACTCTCTAAATCAACATTGAATATCTATAAACCTTATGCTGCTAACAATAGTAAATAGATAAGAAAGTATATCATATTTTATATAGTTTTCACATTTTCTTTTACATTTCTTCAGTTACTTCCTGGTTTCCAGGCCTAGGAAAATTATGTCATACATCCCAGGTGCCTTCAGGAGGGTAGGAGGGGTTTTCTCGGCTAAGCACACCCACCTGCCTGCATGCATGAACTAAGGGCAGATGGATTTCAGGAAGTAAATGCTACATGAATCATCTGCCCTTGAACATGCTAGGAGGTGTTTTTCAAAGTGATTTTGCAGCAAAATAAAGCCATTGATGGATGGGGTAGTTTGCTTTGAATGTTAAAAATAAATTAAATAGTGTTTTTTGGTTTGCGGTACTCATGTGCAGAGCAGTTCCACTTTAAGATGCCTTGTTCATAATTGGCTGACAGAGATCATATGGTATGGTCTCATCTAAAATATACTCTAAGCAAAACTAATTTGTTATGAAGATTCTCTCTTCTGTGTCTATATCCATGTACACATACTTTCTGATACTGGACATAAAAAATATGTGCAATGTAAAAAAACTTCATGCTATGCCCAAGGCATTGAAGGCACTGAATTATCCAAGTAGGACGACAAATATATATCACATTTCATGAATTACAAATGGCAAAGATTCAGGTCGCACTCCACTGAGATTGTTTTTTAATTTAACCAACTATATTGTAGCAGTTGCATGGCATACCATCCACAATCTCTCCTGTTGGACATAACTTCTCGCTTACATGTTTCACCCTTGTTCAGGGCTTAGTCATAGGAAATGAATTACAAAGGTGCACTTATCCTTTAAATAGAAACCTATACTGAGAGAAATGCAAACGCTTCCCCTGCTGACCTCCTTCTGAAAATCATAGTTACCTAGCTGACTTGGGCTATAATATTTTCTGGAACAAGAATGCCAAGCAGGAAAGTAAGCCTTCCTCATCTACAGTATATATATTTCAGGCCAGGGAGTCAAGGTAGTGACTGTGCGCAATGAGCATGACAGCCTGGGACTCTTCATATTCAAGGTTAGGGGAGGTCAAGAATGGAAACTCGTATATTCTTCAGCACTGGTTTACTTAGTGTGTATATATAGCCAAAGCTTTTTTTCTAGTTTTGGATAGAGTTGGGAATGGTTCAAATCTGTCTGTTTTTTTCCTGTCTGTAGATTTCCCTTTAATTCATGTCCCATAGATGCAACAAGAAGTAAAAGAAAATCTCCACAAACTTAGAGGAATTCCCCTTTAGACAGTTGTCTGGATCAGGTGGTATTCCTTACATTCTACAACTTTAAAATGTTGATTTTAATCACTTTTTTTGTGCCAGTTATAGTGGCCACCAGAGAGTGGCACATACCCAGTGGGGGCACAACAATAAAAACTTGACAAGGGGTTATAGCACTTCTATACACACAAAACTTTGAACAAATGTTAGGCTGCACATACACAAAATCATAAGGGATGATCTTTAGAATAAAATAAATAACTTCTCTGTTTGCAAAAACAATTGTTTTTAGAAGCCATGTTTTTACACTATAACATGAACGCTTATTATTTTATTTAGCGTGGGTGCATTCTTTAAATTAACAGTATGCCATTTTTTAGTAGCCAGGTTGACTTCTATGAACAAAACTCACAACTAAGGTTACATCCTTCACACTTTCTGAAGTTGACCATCAGATGTTCAGCTCTTACAACGTCATAAGCATGAATTTGGTCCCCATTATCACCTATGAATCTTTTATCAAACACGATTGTCGAGTGTAGTGTCCAAATGTGACATGCAACACATTGGCCACTCCAGCCCACCTCTCCTACTCACATTGGCTTCTGTAACAGGAGGGAAGCATCTGCTTGTTGGGCGCTGCTTAATTGTAGCCACCCTGGAATCTACTGGCATGTTGTCCACTGGTCTTAAAGGCTTGGATATTGGGGTAGAGTCTTCATTTTTATCTGCAATGAGATCACAAGTTCACCCTCCAACAGGACCCTCATAAACAGCTGCATAGTATCAGACTTTGTAAAAAATGCAAACAAATGAGTAATCTGAAGGTTCGTTGGTAACAAAGCACTGCAGTAGCATTCTCCAGGCGTGCAAGCTGTAATCTTTGAATGAAGCATGCATGGGTTTGTTTTAAGCCTACATGCATGTGATCTTTACTTAGTGGAACGCGAATTACAATCCTCCTCTTCAAACACTCAACATCTGAAAGTTGAACATCTACATAGAAACGGAGAGAAAACCTTTAGCATAAACATTTCTGCTAACGAAGCACAGTCCTCCAGAGATGTGTAAGGAGGGTAGAAGGGTCATTTTGAAAGACAAGATGCCTTGTGCAAACTTGTTTTATGCAACTCTCACCATACCGTCTCTAGATGTACATGATGCATAGCCAAAGGCAACACAGAATTCATGGGGGAAATAGATGCATCAATTATTATTTTATTATTATTATTTTTTGTAGCACAGTGACTTTTAAAATCATTCATCTATATCAGCAATGTAATATTTCTCCAGTCAAGAAAGGGTATAAAAATGTTGGAAGAAGGATTACTTTGGTGAGTTTTTGCAGTTCCAGCCCTCCAAGTGATGCTCTGAAGGAACATGCAAATGCAATTTATTTAGCAGTAGCCTGCAACAAATATCTGACGGATCTGTTATCTAAAGCAATGCACAGACTGGATTTCTTACATTGCCATTGTATTTATGATTGGGGGGGGGGGGGGTTATAAATCCTGGTAGTTATTCTGTCAATATTACAGAACACAGGTACTAATGGCTGCACAAAAAGTCTCACTGATAACACCAGGAGAACTCTGCCTATTCTGTTTGGGTGCGTCTAACACAAACAGAACTGTGTACTCAAAACATGGCACAGAGCTTATAAACACGGTTTGGGCACTGCTTTAAGCAACTCAGAGATATGAGAGGAGAGTTGGCCAATACAGTTGGTTTCAGCAGCAGTTTCAACAACCTAATTGCCTATAAGGGAAGGTGTATAAAAAAACAGTCGCACTAGCTATTCTCTTCCCAATCTCTTCAGTGACATTTTGTAAGGCTAAGATAGCTGGCCTAAGTTTATTTCATATATTTCAGCCCTTTCGTAAATCCTTTGCCCTATGTGCCATCAGAGCATGCCTACATGTCAGACCACTCTAAACTGAAGTGTTGGCTCATGCCTACACATCAGCCTACCCTGGAAAAAAGGGAAGTCTTCTTGGGAAGAGGGGTCTTGCTAGTG